TGAAGTACTTCTCATCAGAGATGATAGGCGTCTGCGTGCCGGAATCCAAGCGGAGGGGGGGGGGGGGGGGGGGGGGGGGCAACGCACGGCATCGGTCATATCTCTTCTTCTTGGTTGCTGCCAAAATTAGATGGCGTTCTGGTACATGATAGCTCTTTAATCCCAGATCACCTTTTACAACTCGGCCCATGGTTCTCTCACTTACACCAGCCTCCCTCGCCAGCTTCTCGTTCTTCCTAATCCTGGACGGCCTTGATCAGCTGTGACGTCCAAACTTGTCGAATTTGTGATGATCGTGGACTGCGAGCAGTTGATCCAGTCTCTCTCAATCTCTTCAGGACCTTGTAGATCGTAGATCGGGCTACATTCTTGCTCTTCAGCTTCCGAGCGATCTCCAATGGGGTCAACCCCTGGTGATACAGATTTGCGATATCTCTTCTCTGAGCCTCCATCGTCGAAAAGGATTGTACGAGGATGATGCCATCAATTGGAAAACATTCAGCTGTCGATCCAGAATCACTCCGGAAAAAATCATGTTCCTATCACTAGACCTTCATTTAAAAATTAGCCAACTTTCGTCCACCTTTGGTTGCCGCACCCGGGTATGTGCAAAGAAAAGTGTCAGACGTGACATTTCATGAACCCTCAAGTTAGTCACTTGCTCTAATGTTCACATATCTGTCATCGAGCAGACCCTAATAATTGAGTTTCATGTTCATTCTATAGATTGAACGAAAGGCTAGAATTAGTGTAAGTCACCCCAAGATTACAACAATTGAAAAAGAAAGTAAGTCTATTGTGTGACGGTGTCGGATGTGACATGTTCTGAAAATGTATTTTGATACGAGAAGTCTGTACATATCTTTTAATTTTATTTTAAAGATATCATTCAAATGTGAAAAATTGACATCTACTCTTCACAACTGCGCTGATTTGGAATTATCAGTATCCATGGAAAACCCAAGTTGGCATCTGTTCCAGTAGTCCAATTTGCATTTTCATCACATTTTTGAGAATCATGAGAGTGGTATTAATTATATATGATAATAATGACTAACTCTTTCATTTTTCAATATAATATTCTCTTTCACTCATGTTTTCTAGGAAAAGAGAGTAGCCTTCACTCGCCTTCACAGCCTCACCACCTTAACTCAAACGTTGCGTTGAAATTGAGATAAACAAGCAATCTCACTGATACAATATCAAACCCACATTAAAGCAACTTTGTTCTGTATTTCTGTGCAAAAGAAAGGTTTATGCAACCTTCCACACGAGGAACAAGATGAAAGCCTTGTGCCTTCGTTTCATCTTGTTCCTATCTCGGTCTCTTTCGATAAAGCCTAATGGAATTCATCCGGTGAGGCAACGGCTGTTTATTTTGCGAGTGAAACCAAGTCAAGTCGGCACTTTTGGAAATGAACATGGAGACATGTAACGGTCAAGGCCAATGAGAAAAGCTAATCAAATTTCACGAAAGGACAATGAGATAATGGGAGGCACAGGTGATCTTCGCAGAGCAGATGGCAGGCAAATACTAAAACTAATCATCATCCTCACGAGTGATGCCAGGCTGTTCCCTGTACTCATCGATGTGGAGCACTCCTTCGGGTTGAAAGTCTCCCATCCTGATGTGCATACCGAGCCTAAGCTTCTCGGCAGCCTGCTTCAACTGGATCTCCTTCATCCGTGCTGCCTGCTCCTTCTGGAGTCTCAGGGACTCTTCGAGTGACACTGTCTTTGCCGATTCAAACTTGGATGGAGGAGGCGTCGCTGCCGTGACCTCCTGCGGTGTCCGACAGCTAACTGACGTAGTCGTATGGGTTGATGCCTTCAACGTCCTGTGAGGTAGAAACTTCTCCTTGTTCACTGACTTTTGTATGGGAGGGGTCTTCTCTGTATCGCCTTGACCAGACAGAAGTTTGAAGGGATTTCTCTCGTCGTCATGCTCACGTTCTGTCGCAGGTGACAGCTCATGTGAGGTCCACTCGATGCCTTCCACCACATTTTTTAATCTGAGAACAGACAGAGCCTCTGTGACACGCGCGACACCTTCGCATTCTTTGATGGCGGCTTCAATCTTCTCCTTAGTTTGCTTCACGTGTTCCCCCTTGTCCGGGAGCTGCGCCAAGAGGCGCCGGTTCCGCAGGATCTTCTTCTGTCGCTCCAGGAGCTCCTCGAGTTCCTCGCGACTTTTCCCCTTCAGGTCCGTCAACTTGTATTCCTGTTCTCCCCGGGTCTTGTCCACAGATTTGGCCATTCTCAACACAGCCATTGCAAAAACGGTACCTGTGCCAATAGAAGCCTCGTTGATATTCATATTGTTCAACAACTATGCCCTTTGATAGGAGCGGTACCAGTCCATCGGCAGCCGGTATGATGCAATCGGCCATCGGTAGGTTTGCATGCTGCCGATGCTGATGCCCAAAGAAAAGCAGGCTTAACGAAAAAGTAATACATAAACGCGCCAAGAAAAATTATTTTCAGCAGGAAAATGCGATGAGTAGGGCTGTCAAGATACATCAATGTCAGTATGGGTTGTTGGAGGCAAAAATGCCTTTTTTCCCATTGCGATGGTCACAACCCCTCTCCCACCCCAATCTCCGACGAAATATGATGAAAACGGAAGGAGGCTCGCGCCCCGATCATGGCAAGAAACGACGTACGTCATACCCTCGCCCGTTCGAGACGTGAAATAACGGAATCCACTCCCACCCTCTCTCCTCCAACGTTGTTCATCAGTGTGCAACAGACAGTTCAAGCCGATACATCTGCACTTTCAAAACATCCATCGTGACAATACTTAGGGGGGAAAAAGCAGAACATCGGCACTGGCCGAAAGGAATGCGATCACGATCGACCATCGGTTCATCGACCAAGTGGCCACCGGTACAACTCTACTTTTCTCTTGCATGATGAATAAATCTTTTGAATGACTATTGCGTGGATGTAAATCACAGTTTTTTATTATCTCCATCTGATATCACGTAAATCTGAGGAATTTATGCCCCCGCGGTTTGCACGATGTTGGTATCTTATCCCCTACCACAGGTTTAATAAAAAATTATTCAAATTCAACTATCCAGAAGACAAATTAACTGTCACAATATATAACTTAAGAGGCATCGAAAGCCAATTTCGCTCAATAAAGCCGGATAGCGGGCAAGTGACACGTAGCGTGGAGTGAGCAGATAGCTTTTTCCTTGCAATTTTTTGTACGTCAACCTTAAAAATGATTAAATTTGAATCACTACTGAAACTTTTTGAAATTTAGCAGAAGCGTATTTTTCCGGCTGAAATGTCATATGCAAAGTTTCATCTGGTTCGCACTATATCGGATGTCAAACAATATAATCTGGCACACCTTTCCTCCTTCAAGAAAAACGTCTTTGTTCAACTCTCTTTGCCCAAACCTCTTAATTGAATCTGAGCGGCATACTCTACATTATAATCAAATATTGATTATGCTTGATTAAGAGCGAATAAGACAGACAGAAACAAGAAGCTGAGTGGCTTTTTTTTTTAATATATAGTTAACAACCAGAACCTGCGCTATACAAGGTGAATCCTACGTCTGGAAACAGGTTTTACACTTCCTTTTTTTTCTTACCGTTTTTTTTTGCAGCAGATGATATTCGTAGCATGTGAATAACATCCCAAATATCTCTGGTAGAATAAGAACGTGTGCAGGAACTCCTAATGTATGGCCAAGGTTCTTAGAGAGAGATCGCTGAAGGGTCTAACATCAAGCATCCTGATCGACAATCAATCATTAACAGTGCAGTAGCCGAGTTGGCTGCAAAAGTTCAAGAGTTGAACAGTGTACAAAATGAATGGGTGATGAGACTGCAAACGTGCATGGAAAAATTAGGGAAGACACATGGACTATGTGCCAGATATGCCAGGAGTTCTACAGGGTATATGCAGGACAGTGTGCAGAGATGCACACGAAAAATTATCTAGAGGTTCACATGTCAGCTATGTTACTCAGAATTATCCGACTAGACTTTCACATGTTCCCGCCAGGCATTTAGTGTCTGGCCAGATAATTCTTAGTAACGTGGCTAACAAGTGAACCTTTTGGAGAATTTTTTATGCACGTCTGCACACCCTCCTACATATAGGAAGTCAGACATATCTGGGTTAAGATTCAGCAGGAACTTTTTCTTTTACCAAGCATGCAACAGGTGTTCACGTCACTCTACGCAGGTATTCTCAAAGTAACTTTTAGGGCTTTCCTCACGCTTCAGCTCTGAAGCACGAGTTCTGACTTCTTGCCCCACCAAGGACTCCCAAGAGGCTTACTGCCATTTAACGCATTTAAAAAGTCTGAAGATTTTTCAATGGAGGAAAAAAGGACAAGATGTAAATCTGCCAATCCCCTGCATCAGGACGGCACTCTCATCCTTAGCCTCTTTTGGTCGGGTGTGGGAAGCCACCTAGGGCATCCGACTTAGGGCCAGTTATGCTGGCTGATGAATAACCCCAGAAATAGGTTTGGGAAAGGTTTGAACAGACTGCAACAGTTAAAAAAAGAAGTGCGAGTGAAGAGAAATTAAGGAATTTTTAAAGGCTCCTCAAGTTGCATTGTCACGACGGATACAGTTCCTAAGACAAGTAGTCGAATCTGAAACCAGTAAAGGGCACAGTTAAATGTGCCAGTTCCCGTGTGGAACCTCTGGATATTTTATCTACCCCCTGCCGATTAGATACAGCATTACACTTTAGCTTACGATCAGATCCTGCAGCATCACTTTCCTACAACAGCTAACCTCTTGAGGATGAGAACTATCTCACATTTCATCCCATTTTCTGCCTCCACGATAATGCTGATGATGAAAATGATTACACAAATTATGCTCTTTATTGCGTGGCATTACTATGTAACAACAGCAAACCAGAAGCAATGAAGAAAGAGGCGACCAATTCAAATCATGAAATTCAACAGTCAACCTGAATCATCACTTCAATCTCGCCATCCTCTTCAACCCGCAACCTCTGAATCACAGCTTTTGCAAGGCGTCCTTCTGGTCCTGGTTGAGCACTTCTGAGCACGCATGAGCCAAATCACTGTTGCTGAGGACTTGATGGATAATGTTCTTGATACGCAAGTAAGTCGGATCTTCTTTATTAACTGCTTCCCGATGGAGGGCTTCGGCTAAAATGCAGATAAGATGTGGGAGATTGGCATTATTGAGCCCCAAGACTACAGGGTGGTTGGCTTCCATCAAATCAAGCAAATATCCATATATGTGAGGCGACTCTTCCACATCTTCATAAGTTGGCAACCAAGAGAGCCAAATGGGTAAAATGGTGTTTACATCAACAACTGAGGCATGGTATTTGAGAATCTTGGCAACAGCTGAAATGGCATTTTCTGTAGCAGGAGCATTTTCGGGGGATCGACTTTCAGCAGCAGCGATGACTTGGGTTAAAAGAGGAATGGCCTGGGCACATGTGGTGGCAAATGCTTCTCCTCCGTGATGAGCCAGAACTCCCAGGCCATAAGCTGCTGCTTGACGCACCTCAACGTTGTTGTCATGGATGTATGTCAACAGAGGATGGATGAAATATTCCCGGTACTTGACTGCAGAGGGACCAGTGAATTCAATAAGGTCATCAAATATGCAGATTCCCCACTGACGATCAGCAGGAGGGCGTTCTGATTGAAGGAGATGGACGAAGTGGGGAAGTATCTGGTCAAAGTAGCTATAGAGGGACTCTCGATAAACAAGGAACAAGGAATGGAGTACATCAGCCACTTTAGTCAAAATATAAACATCATCTTCATTCTCTTCCCGCAGCTGCTCCTCAATAACCTCATCGTAGTCTTCATCCGACCGTTGCTGTAGTCGCTCACTTGCCTTCTGGAAATGCTCTTTCAGCGTTTTATCCAATAGCCTAAAGATTTCCCTCATTGCTTCTTCATTCAAACAGCCTGAGCCCAATACCTCAATACATTTGGCAAGGGATCCCAGGAGGTCAGAAAGGACCTCACCTTCATTCTCATTCTCGATTGCTTTCAGAAGCTCTGGACATGTATATGTCCACATCTCTACAACTTGACCCTGTGTTTCTGGATTCAGTTTTGCACTTTCCAAGAGTGCTGGGAGACTGTCAGCAGCAGCAGACCGAACTCCTTCATGAAACAGGAACTTGAGAAGTGGGACCATCAGGTTAAGGACCTCTCTTGCATATGGAGCAAACCCTTCCTTCAACTCCCTAGCATAACATACAAGCATCTGGCAGGCATTGGCCTTGTCTTCCAATCCACTGGTGCGAATTCCAAGGTTCTGGTGTTCTCCCAATGATATGTACTGCCAATCATCATCATCTCCTCCAGCAGCTTCCATTTCATCAGCATCCAACATAGTGATTTCTGGCTTGATTGAAGCTGCCTTGATGACAGGACCCATGACCAAAGGCAGATATTGGGTGAACTGCTTCCCAAGGATCTTGCATATCCTTGCCCAAGCACTGATCATATATGACATCTGAGGGTCATCATCAGTGATATCCGGGGCATCTCCAGCACCAACAGCTCCCTGAGTCTTCAAGAGTAGATTCATGACTTCTGAGGCATCTGGCAAGAACTTCTCTGCTCCCACAGCAAGACCAATCAGACTGATACACTCTATTGTCTTTCCTCGGAGAAGACGTAACTCAGCTGACATTGCATTCTGAATTATATATTTCAAGTAAGGCATGAAGCGATCATAGAAGGGGACAAACTTATCTTCAACAGTGTCAGCAACAGAAGCGATGGTAGTAACAACCTGCTCCAGTACAAGCTTTGTTCCTTTGGAGACCAATTCCTGGAGTTTTGCACTCAGAACTTCTTCTAGACAGCTCATGAGATCCATCAAATGGATACTCAAGATAGGCTTGGGACATTCCTCACTGAAGTTAACCAAGGCAGCCCCAGCATGTGCCTGCACTCTTGGATTTGGATCATTCTTCAGCAAGAGGAGAAGACCTGGCACTACCTTGTCAGCAAACTTCTTTTCAAAGGTTGGAGAAAAGTCAGTGGCCATTTGACCTATGGCATTGCAGCAGGCATGTCTTACTCTGGGATGTGGATCCTGGAGGAATCGAAGTATTCCACCCATGAGCTCAGGGAGGAGACTCTCCATCTGCTTGTGACATCCCTCTCCAACAGATGAGATAGCCATAAGAGCTGCATACCGCTCCTGCCATCGAGATGAAGACAGCATTCCAGGGATGGTTTCCATGACATGTGGCAATACAGTTTTTCCTCCCAGTCCACAGGCAATTCGATCCAAAGCCATCTCAGCCACAACAGAATTGCTCTCCTCATCATCATCTTGTGCTTCATCAGCATTGTTCCATTCCTCATCCTCTTCTAAATCTGAAGCCATTTTTAGAGTTTCTAGCATCAGACTAGGGACAATCTTTTTCCCAAGCTTTCTCACCATTCCCGGGGCTGTTTCACACAGTGTCACCACAACTTCCAAAGCTAAATGCCTAGTAGGATCTGTGATCTCAGGATCTGCTAAGATCTTTATGCACATTTCCATAACTGGGAGAGCCTGTGGTCTAAGGTATTTAGGTATTGACTCAGCAATGTCAATCAGACACTTGAGCATGGTGTCATCCTCTTCAGGATTGTAAATGCTTTTCCCCACTACGTTCAGCATCAAAGGCAAGGCATCTCCAAAGGCAGCCATGGTTCGTGTGTCCTCTTCATTGTCCAAGAGAAAAGCAGACAGAGCTTTAGTGGCAACAAGCTGGACTTCCCACTCATTGTCATTTAGGCTATGAATCAACATCTGCTTGATCATCTCCAGATACTGAGACTGCTGATTACCAAAGATGCCTGGCACAACATGAAAAATGTGAAGGGCATTCTCCTTCAAAAAGGCTGATGTTGAATTCATGCATTCAAACAAGAATTGGAGAAATTCAGGCCATTTGTTGTTGCCTTCATCATCCAAGAAATTTCTAGCAACTTCTGCAGCCAGATCAGCTATCTTTCTCCTCAGATCTCTTTTCTGGTCTTCCTTCAGGGCATTCATGATCTCCATCTTGAACTGGGTTTGCTGGTCTACTGGAAGCTTTGATAGGACATCCTCTGATGTAAACAACTTTCGAAGAAGAACAGCAGCAAGAGATCGTAACTCAAGGTCCAAAGTGGCATTTCTCACAGCCATAAGAAGTAACATGGACTTGGTTTCCAGAGGGATTCCCTCAAATGCATTAACTGACTGGGTACGAATGTCATTGTCAACAGCAAGAAAGTTCTGCAGAAGTTTCAGGAATTCTTCTGGAGAAGAAGCCATCTTGAAATATTTAGAACTGGATACTGTACCACCTGTTTATCAATTGAATGAACTGTGGAGAAGAAATACATAGCATTCAGAAAACCTTACTAGGATATAACTATTTTCTCAGCCTGGCATACAGGGGCATTAAGTCTTGACTTAACCTGACATGAGGTCTAGTCTAGAATCTATACGTAAGGCCTACATCAAGGCACTAATTGAAAACTGTTTCAAATGTTCTGCTGAACAAAGGGAAAAAGGTATGGAAAAAATCATAAGACCATACAAGACATCAGCTGTTGGGCACTTGCTATCAAAACCTCTTGTTAATGCAAGCTGCTGTTATTGCTGCTAATAAAATCTCTTACTCTCCAATTGTAGCTTTCCCATATCAAGGACAATTTCTAAATGCATTGAATGAGAGAACCTCCTTAATTACCATACTGCAAAATGTTTAAATGGCTTCTCTTTGTCTTGTTCAATACCTTCTTGAACCAAACATGGCACTGGCTTCACAAGTACACTTGAACAATGCTGGTGTGTTGCAGGAAAGTGAGTGAGCACATTTAGCAGCGATGGGAAAGAAAAACCAATGGCCAAGCAGTTAAATGGTGCTAATGTCAGTAGATTGCTGAGAGATTAGGCATTATTTTGTGGAGTGAAACATATTCCTGATTTGTCCACCTAGTTCCCACCTGGTCTCTTCACAGAATCATAAGGATAGGTCAACAAGCATATATTTATAGGTAAGCCCACAGGGCAGTCCTGGTGAATCAGGCTTTATTCAGCTAGAAGCGAGCAAGTTTTGCATCAAATTAGAAGCTTGCTTGCAGATATTGAGAGCTCAGACCTGGCAAACAACAGGATGTCAGGAGGCAACAAGAAAGGCAACAAGAAATCAGATTAGTCTATTTAGAAGTGCTTTCTGGTTCCTTCAAGGCCTAGATTTTCCTACTTGGCTATTTCCATTCAAATAGAAGGCTGCTTTTCATGTTATATTAAAAAATTGATGCTTCAAGAGAACCCAAGCAAGATAAAAGCACAAATACTCTCCTTGTGTGCCATCCAGTACTTAGCCTAGGCCTAATGCTTAGGACTGTCAGGGCATATTGCCTATTTGTAATGAATTAATGGTCAACAACTTAAAAATGTAAATGTGCATACACTACGATGTGGAGAACAAGTTCCCTATTAAGGTCTAGTGTACTGCAGTCTTTCCATCCTATCCTGGATATCACAGACTTCTGCACGCTTCCAATAGCACCTCCCTGACCGCTGGTTGCGGTCAAGGAGGGGTATGTTAGTTCTTTTTTTTTGTTATTCCTTCGAGTCCGACACTTTTCAAATGGCTGCGATACCTATTGCACTTCCATCCATCCATATCAGTAAATTGAAATGGTGTCACAACACATTCAATTAAGATCAGCACCATTGAAACCAAGGGACCTGTGCTCTCTTGCTCTTCACCCAGTCGAACGTCCAATTTTGACTTAGCCCGAATGACTACTCCAGTGATAGATTATTCGTTGAACCACATACAGAAATGCATTCAGTGAACAGGGCATCCACGTCGACGATTGCCACATTGCGAGATCACCATGAAACTACGAAATGTTACTGCAAGTAGGCCTACGTCTACAAGTGTGCACTTGAAACTTTGACTGGTATCGCTTTGTGATAGCTCAAATTTCAGATAAGCTCTAATTTTGATGAGATTTCCCGGGTTTGGAAAAATCGCGGGAAGATAGAGGCTCACACCCTTCTGACATATACCTCCATATTGTGACGTCACCCTTGACGAAGACCAGCATGACGTCACGCGTCGTCTGCTCGTTCTCACGTGGAGGGAAAGTTCATGCTCTTGGCATTTATGCTCACACATATGACCTTTTGATATACAACTTTACATGCCGCGAAAGGCGCGTATTTTATGAGGCTCAGATTTAATTACGTCTCCTTCCACTTGGAATTGCAAGTGGGCCGCTGCGGTCCCGATGACTCGGTTCGTCCTTGCTTACAGGCAGACCAGAGCGAAGCGAGGAGTGTATGAATCATCACTAGCTTCCAGGAACGCAGGTACAATGCTGCTTCTCATTTTCTCATTCCTTTCCATGAACATATCCAGAACACAAGCATGGCCGTTTTATTAAAGAGGGATGGACATTTTTCCGGGGCCTCATTCCAAAGAAACAATAGTTGTTTTCCTGAGTAATCGCATTTGGGAAGTTTCTTTATTTTTGTACCCACCATGCAAAGCTGCAGTTGGTGGAGCCCGAAGAAAAAGGACTTTTCCGATTTGACGACGCCCTGATTTTGCCTCGAGTCTCACCAAGTCAATAAACGGCTCTGACCGCAAAAAGGCGGCTTGGGATGAATTCAGTAGTTCGAGGGTGCAAAAAATAAGGGGAGACCGACTCATGATCTCGATGAACAGAAATTCACCGTATTGATAAAATATATATGTATTTAATTAATAATAAAAATGTGCTTAGGCCGATATTGCTAATTTATGAGCACTTCTCAAAGGAGGCAAGCGCAAAGAGAATGGTTGAGAAACCACTTCGTAACGGCACTTCAATTTCGCCTGATCTTACGTTATCGGAACGGAAATCGCGTATTCCTATGAACGAGTGCGAAGTAACTGCATTCAGTCCTGATAATAATAAAAATATCGATATGACGAAGTTCTCGTCACGCAAAGTTTCAAAACACCTCCGCAGCATAATCACACGGAACTGAGTGTCACGTTACGGGGAAACCTCACGAGCCACGACTTTTCCACTTTTTACACTTGCGTTGTAATCAATTTGCCATGCGGAGGAACCGTTTTCCTGTTACTTCTTCCAACAGCCACTCGTTCGAAAATGCGTAAATAGTTCCGGTCGTCATTGATGTCATGCCAGAACCGCATGCCGGCCCTATCGTACCCGGCGACCTCTCGATTCCCGACCCGGTGTGACGACCACACGAGACGATTCCGCCCTATTAAGTCTGCACAGAGTGGATCAAAATACCTTACATCATATGAGATGTTCAAGCTGCATGCCATAGAGATTTTTACACGGATCAAATCGGTGACAAAAACATTCACAAACGCGATGAAAGACATCTGCAGGAGCTGTACACATTTGCAAATGACCTGTAAATAATAAAAAAGCACTTAATAAATAAGGACTTTCGATTCACTCTCTTTTGCTTGTAGGAGCTTTTAGTAATCGCCACTAAATCCGGACTCCTGAAGAAATTCTCATCTAGAAAGTTGGGCTAACATGTTCACTTGTTGTCATCATCATTGTTTAAGCAGTTCAACCAGCTGAGAGAGCAGGTTGGATTATTTGCTTCCGAAATGACGTGGCAACCAGGAAATGTGCGAATGAAACGGTTCAGGTTGAACCCCCACAATGTTGTTGGGAACGTCAAAATAACCTATAAGCCACCAGATGTGTAAAGCAGGTGTGTGGCTTTAGCACAGCAGATGCGGAACGCAAAGCTGGACCACAGCTTCGTTCGGCATTGCCAACAGGATTACCCTTATGCTTTCTAAATGGGACAGGAAGCCCTTCATTCTGACCGGTCCGACGTGATTCTCGACCGAAATTGACGGTACGAGACGGAATCATTTTACGTCGAGAAAGGAATCGAAAATGTTGGATTCCTATTGAAAATTTGAAATTCATTAGACATTTCGAAGTCATACGGAAGTGTCCATCCTCCCAAATGTTTTCGGGGAAGCCAGGGACGCCTTGCCTCCCTTGGATGGATCGATTCATGGTACAAGTTTCTCTGATGTAAAATCCAGTGGTTACGCTCATTCAGGTGTCTTCAACCAACTTTACTCGAAACTACAGCCATCGATGATGTCTGAAGCCAGTATTTATTGATTCAAGAGAAGACAGAGCATGCACAGTTGTACATGATCCTTTCCCAAAATGGGGGAAAATCTGATCATGCATTACCTGACTCGATTATGACATTCTTTCATAAGGGCGATTCCAGTGTCTGGAAATTTTTTTTGCTGACTCATGCTTCAGTCCAAGAAGATGGCAAAAGCCTCTTAAGCAGAGGTTTTCACTTCTTTGAAATGCTGAATGCAAGTCAGCCATTGCAGAAAATTAACAGGAATCTAAAGGAATCTTAATGTGCATTGCCATGAAATAGTTGGAAAAAAGAAAAGTTTCAGGGAATATATAGTGGAATTTAAAGTGCTTCCAGACTCAAGAATCACATTGCCCTCCAAAAAAAACCAAAACGTCTCATCCAATATCCAAGCATTCACAAATTTCAAGATCCTAAATAGATCACGGGCAAATGTCTTTTTAAAAAATGGAAATTGGCATTTCAGACAAGGCATATCCTGAGCTATCAGATCTATATCCTAACACATCCTTCACAAAATCCCTATTTGTTCTTTCATTCAGAAAGATGTGCAAAATAGAAAAAAAAATCAAGAAAAAACACACCCTGATACACCAGCCCAGCTGGTTCCAATGCATCATGAATCATCAATATTGAACAAAAAGTAAAGGTAAAACCAGGTCTTTCTTCTTCTGTTCCAGGCATAAGTACTATAGCATATTGCCACAGGTCAATGATGGCATTTGATGCAGGCATTTGGATGCATCCAATGAATTCGTTGTGCTCAAGCCCATGAGGTGGGTCACATAATTAACATCAAATCAACATTGACAGAATGGAAAAGGAAGAAGAGAGACTAAAATTAGCTTTACCCATAGAGTATCATGTTTCAACTCCACACCATCGTGACATATTTCCTCCAAATCAGGTGCAGACATAAAATGTGGTAGCAAAAGATTGCTCAATCCACAAATATCAAAGTGACGTGACAAACGAGACCAAGACTAGCATGTCATCTGCATGATGATACAAACATCTGATTTGTCCAATCATGCAAAAAATAGAGGCAGAAAGAGGAAGTGAAAAACATCAATATATAAGCTTTCTAATGCACAAGTTGTCACAAGACATAAATACGAAATAAATAAAAAACTCAATGTAGGAATCTTATATCTCAGCAAAGGGGGTAGAAATAGGAGCAATGAGAGTATCACAGATGATGAAGGAGAAGAAGGATGGAAGTGAAATTTGGGGAATCCCTACAGAATATTCAGTACCTCTGTCTGAGTTCCGGAGAGGAGTCGCTAGACCCTGGATATCTTGGTAAGGGCCGGATCACGGGATGACCCTGGGCGGTTCGACCGCTGCCAGGTCCATGACTTGAGTTATAGCCCCTTGATGTTGCAGGATATCCTCTTCCTCTTCCATCTTCCAACGAGTAATTGTTGAGATCCAGACGGTAGGAGGGATCGTAATTAGCACCACCAAGTTCCTGGGAAGAATATGAGTCTGTCTCCTCGTCTTCCTCCTCATAGCCGTCGTACCAAATCATCTCCTTCATTTCATGAACTGAAGAATTGATGTTCCACAGTTCATGAAGGAGACTCATGTCCATCTGACGAAGACTAGCCTGAAGGGATAAATGTGCACTGAATAAATAAGCAACCATGAAGTCTGAAATCTGAGAATGGAAGAAGGTAGCTTACCATTTCCCTCCTGAGTTCATTGAGCTTGGTTTCCAAGCTCTCCATTCGATGTTGAAGAGGGATAGGGGGAGGTGGATTAGGTGGTTTGGTTGGAGGAGCAACCTTCCCTGTGCGGGGTGGTACTGGTGGAGGGTGCTTCTTTCCACCATGACCAGGTGGTAATGGTGACATGGATGATGAATCACTGCCGATCCCAGAACTCACACTTCCTCCTTTATGAGTGCCCTTTGAAGCACCATTGAAAATGGGGGAAGGCCGGGACGGACCAGCATCAAGGGAAGAGGTACTGCCAGTACGACGTGACGCAAATGGTGTTCGGCTCTTGCCAAGAGAAGCTGAGCCAACTGATGAACCACTGCTGTTGCGTGGAGACCCTCGTCTTGGCTGAGTGGTTGGTGTCGTGCAACTTGACGAACTGCTTGAGCCTTTGGGCTCAATGAGGAGTGGAGGGGCACCTGCAAACTCAGACCAGTGCATCACCATCCCTGGGTCTGCCTCCAACATGGAGCTGAGGCTTTTGGGGAGGGGAGGAAGACCCTCTAGGGATGCGAGGCCTTCAGGTGATGCCATCAGAATTATTGCTGAACTAATGGACTGTTGTCAACCTGCCATCACATTCTGGACAGGAGGCTTCCTGGTACCTGTGATGCAAACTTCTGACCTGGAGGCACTCTGTGCATTCTGAGACAGAATGCAGGTCAAAAGATCTCATCACTCATCTTCTGTACCTAAAACAAAGTGCACATTTACAGTAAAATAAAGTCATTCTTGGATGCAGTGAGTTCATCATAGACATAAGGACAAGAACTGGATGGATGCAGGTAAACTGGGGAATGAATGATCCCCCAAAACATACTGCCAATAATAGGGCAGCAGTCATTCCTGAGTATAATGTGCATCATGTATACAATCAATGGGAAACAGACTGATGAAAAATGTTTTATTCAACATCATTCTACCTCACACCAAGACTGATGATGGGAACTAAGATGGGAAGGCATTGAAGAATATGAGATTTCACCCATCTGTCTCATTTTAGGTTTCCACAAAAGGAGGTTTAATTAATACTTGGGAATCAGGGGTAAGATTTCAGGTCTTTGTCTATCCAAAGGCTTGCCTCTCTTCAACTCTTGGTTTTTTATGTGATCACATTGTCTACTTGTGAGTGCCTAAAATCTGATTTTGATGGGTGAGGTCCAACATTCTTCGAATCTTTCTGTGCAAGCTTCTACCCAGGACACCACTCTTATCCAACTGTGGAATCAGGTACACAATATCAGTTTTTAAAAAATGCAATACCTGCTTTTTCATATTGGACATGAAGAGGAATAAATGGAAGAAGGGCTGAACACAGAACATTGGCACAATGCACAACACAACATTGGCACAATCACATTCATGATTGATGAAATGAAACTCCAGTAGGTACACCACCATATTGAAAATTTCTTTGCATGGAAATGAAGATCTACCTGCAGCTAACTCATAGAATAGCAATTGGTATAGTGTGCACCACATCTGATTTCAATCTCTCATACCTTCAACTCAAGTCCTTCACAATGCCCATTCCTATGCAATCAATGAGGAGATTCCTTTACATATGAATGAATGCTTGCAGTCAAAATGTGTCCTCCTTCCTTGTCAGCCACATCCCAACTGGTGAATTTATATGCAGGGCATTTCCTACCATTTTTCAACATAAAGATTTCGAAGGTTATGATCCACTTCTCTCTCCATTTCTCTGATTGACTGAGTAGCCTACACTGACCTGTAAACTGTCACTACCCCCCTTCACCAACATACTGTGGTTCCCTGCATCAACTATGATATGGTTTGAGATATAAAATGGAAGAAATTAAGTTATTTTTGTCAAACCATTAACATGTAAATAAATTTACCAGAGTGAGATTAATTGCATTGACACCCTGACTCTGGGTAAAGGAATCTCTTTTCCTTTTTTTTTTGGAAAGACAGAATCAGTTGGACAGACAGTCTGTAATCACAGACACTCCCCAAGAAAATGACCAGGTCAATGTATGATTTATTCTGATTTCTCCATGAAACAGCCCAGGACCCTTTCGACCAGAGATTGCGCCACCTACAACAAAAATATGTTGTGAAAAACATTTCATGTGCATGCTAATTGTCGACTTCAATGCTTTTCTCCCCATTATTATCAGCATATCAGTGTCTCCTATGAACCATCTGAACATCAAATGAGAAAGGGAGCTCCACTTTGGAGAGGTCTTACTTTGGGAATACAGGTTCAAGGGTGACAGCAATGGGCTTGATTTCACAATGACCTCCCTCTTTTCTTCTATTACATATTGCAGAATGACATTCCATGAAGTAATTACCAAGCTAGCAAGACTTTGTGGCTCAGACTGACAAATATATTCTATTTTTTGCCTATCTGAGAGAACAGCATATCCAGCACAAAATCAGGTGAGCTAGTGCACAAGTGATCACTTGTCTTGGCTGGCCTTAGATCATCAAAGTCCCTTTCACTCTAGAGAACTCACACCTCCAGAAGTTAGCTTCTTGAAGAAACTAAGTCATCTATTACAATCATTCACCTAGGCTCAAGAAGTTCTGAAGGTGGAAGATACTTTCATGCATAATTCATGCAGACAAATAGTCACTCACATCATATACGAAGTATTCAACTTCAAGTGGATCACCTCTCACTACCACTGACTGACAGTTCTTCAACTCCTTCTACAATTACATGACAGAATCAAAGAAATCAACACAAAATAAACTTCACTGGATAAAAGGGGAGTGAGCTAAAGTGAGCTCTTACCATCATATTTAGCCTCCTTTTCTCTTGATTTAATTCCTCTTCCTTCATATCATCTGCACAACATGAATGTAAAAGGTGGTTACAAAAATGTGATTTGGATCAGAAACAATTTGTTTAGTCACAGGATCATGAGCATTTATGAATTTATAAGCATTTCACATCCTCCGTTAACACACAAGGATCCTAGTGTACTGACTTTCATTATTGTGAAAATCTAGATTTATTGGCCTGTGAATGCAAAAATATCAAGCACAAAAAGACAAAAAAATAAACAGTGAGCAGGACTACTCTAAGTAAAAGAAGAAAGTGCCAAACTCAGCTGAGAACACTAACAATACTCCAGAAACTTTTTTTGCTGTTAGTTTACTATATTTCTTAGAAGGACCAATGTGCTCCTATTTTGTTCTTTCATTCATACAGGACTCTCCAAGCACCCATACCCATTTATCTGACCTGTAGTGCATCCTTTATGTTGCTGCGTTTTGTTTTTTCCAGAGCTTACCCCCTTGAAAAATCAAAACTTCCCATGAATGATGAATTTGAGCCATCCTCATGCTCGAGGATGAGCAGGGCTTCAAGCAAAAAAGTATAGACGAACTGAACTCTCCACTTTCTAAAAAGGGCTTACATGAAAACCCTGTCCAAATCCATTTGAAGAAGCATTTGATTGACTAAGCAAAACTATGACAATAAACTATAGTGCCTCATTCAAACACATGCAACTGTGAATGTAGTGAAACTTCTGCAGTCCACAGGAAATTCCCAAGATAGTACTCACCTAAAATCTTTCCATACTCCCTCTCAAGAATGGACGGAGGAGAGTTTTTCACTTTTCGGTGATGACTCTGTTTTTCAGAATGCCAAAGATCACATTCAGTCTGTTTCCAACCACATGAAATGTTCAGGAAAGGGAAATCTGGAAGTAATATGTGTTTCTCTTTCCTTCTCCATTCCTTGAGCAACTGAAGCATTTCAATCGGAACCAAGATCTTACCTTGCAAATTCTCACAATCAGAAGAGAGGTCTCTTGTCTTTTGGAATGATGACCTTGCTCCAGTCACTGTGCCTACTCTTCGTTCATTCTTGAATGGTTTTCCGATATCAGGAAGCTTCCAAGTTGTTCGGTCCATGTGTTCCTTCTCCAACCGTTTCACTTCTATTTGAAGGTGGATTGATATCTTGGCAATGGCACTAGACCAAGGAATATTATCTTAAAGAAAGTAATAGGATGCAACATACTTCTCATATAATCTGCATTGATGAGTCTAAGACTGGCATCCCTCTTGTCTGAGATCTTGGATCTCAAGGCCTGCTTGCGTTCCTCCAAATGAAAATCTTTATGGCTTCTCTCCCTCCAGTATTTCTGACTACTATGGAGGATCAATCCCAGCACATTCCTTCGCCTTTCTAAAAGCTCTCCTGTTTCCTATAACACATTTTGAGAAGCCATTGTGTATCAGCAAGACATGAAGCTCCTTAAAAAGGACTGCATAGAGTGAGTGTGGAGGAGTAATGATGAAGCCCTAATAAAAATATACAATTTGGCATCAAACCTGTTCCCTGCATAGCCATGCTTTCCATGATGAATCTCCAAAATCAAGAGAATCTTGAAGCATGTGAGTAAGCTGAAGCTTTTCCAAGAACTCCTCTCCATCTGCTTCCATGGGTGATGTGGCTGTTTGTAATACATAAATTTGATGTTACAAGAGCACTTGAAGTATTGAGAAATTTCACAAGCATTTCCTTTCACATCAAAGAGGACAAGAATGTTTGAAAGCTGAACAAAATCCACATGTACCTCCTATAGAAACTCAGAATCGTAACAGGAACTGAGGATCCATCTGTAATGATACCAAGAATAACAAATCAGCAACGAGAAAAAAACATCCATGAAAAGTAAATAATGCCTCCTGATTCTGTTCATGCACAAAAGATAGAAGACTGACAGAAAAGGTGAGGATATGGAGTAGGGCGTTCAGATAAGATGCTGATGCGAGGAAAGAAGGCAGGGTCTGTTTGGGCCTCAGACTCTCGATAGTCTGTCTGGGTCCCACACGTCCTCAATTTTCCTGCTTCTAATGAAAACCCATCTGATTTCATCCTGTATCCAGCATGCATATTCTCACTATCCTTTTCCTTGGCAAAATGAATGCAGGAGTAGGGGAAGGAAACCAGGGGCCTGCACACAAGGAAAGTATACTATTGTATGATAAGAGGTAAAGATTCATTAGTGAGTTTACTTGCAATCTGCAAATAAAAGCACACCTGCCAAAAAATTTGGTACGATCCCTCCCTTTGACAAGAATGTCAAGACGTGGACATTCTGAAGGTCTCTCGGGAGTTCCACACATATAATCTCCAGCTACCACCTTGTCCAGAACCTATGAAGCACAACAAAGTAATGACAATTTGGTCAATGCTTTCTACAATACTGTATTTACAGACACATGTATTTTCTTTATCTCACCTGATCAAGAGGCAAAGAACCCATGACCATTGATGCACTCCCCCAATCCTCTACAAGCATCTCCAAACACAATACAGCTATCACTTCATCACTGGGTTAATACTCTACAAAGCTCTCCCATGCCAGAAAAAGAACAGTAAAATGCATAGAGCTTCATCAACAAATATGAATGTACAGGTATCTTTCCCATCCTAGAGTCATCATTATTTAGCCTATAGGATAATTAAAAGGTTGCATCCCAACAAGCACGCTCTTGATAGCATGCAACAATGGAATCTGAAAATTCCATGTTGGAAAAGGTCCTAATTCATTATGCACAAAAATAAAACTAAAAAGGTAACAACTGTTGTCTGAAACATTAAAAAATTGCATCATTGACATTTATAATAAATTAGTGAGGTAACAAATAGAATGCAAGACTTTTGCTTTCAACCTAATTACATTTAGATAATTTCAACTTTTGAAACAATTGATAAAAGTTGTGTTTAACACCTGTAAAATATACAAACTCCTGATTCCATATCAAGAAATAGTTCTGGGTGAAAGATTTGCATTAATGTTTAGAAGCAAAGAGTAGTACTAGAAGATTCCATTGCAGTGGAACCAAAACTACTTGATGTCCACTTCCTTCAATAACTTTTGGACAAACTTGACAAAGATGAAGGAAAATAGGAGACTGTGAAACAGCAATTGCAAGTAGGCTACATTTATGGATTCTCATGCTCTGCTGTCTTGTGTTAAAAAAAATTCCACTCCCACAATTACTTTATGTAATTCAAAGCTCATAAGAATTACAAACCAACTGCTAAATCAATTTGGTACATTCAAAGTGGTCCTGCATGTGTCAACCAACACTTTGTGGGCTTGTAGGTACACATTAAAAAAGTGTCAAAATACTGGATTTATACCTTAACAAGTGGCCTAAAAATCATCATAAACCATACATTACTTTCATGAAATAACATAAATCATCACAAACATATATTTTTAGAGCTTGTAATAGTGGCACTTTTCTAGTAATCAAGCATTTGGTCACTATAGAATAGTAATGTGAAGAATTTGATTTTTTCCCATTTTCATACCTGTAGAATCAATGTAAAATTCTGCAACATACATGAGCACATAATCCTTCTTGAGTATGTTTGCTGCTGTTGTCATAAGCATAACCAGGGAGAGGCAAGACATCTACAATCTATTGACAACAACATGGTCTTTTCAACTGAAATTCAAAGTTTCACACCCAGGGTAAATAAGCACCCTGATGCAAAAGCTGACTAAAGTATGTTCAAAGTCAATATATATTCATGAGCTGACCTTCCTTGGAAATCACAGCTCATCACCTGAATCCTGACTATGTAGTCAATAACACAAACTGAAATATTGGCACTGTATGTTTTGGGGAACAACACCTCCCAGCTCAAATTTGTAGAAATGTACTTTTGTGGTGTTGTTACCCAGTTACACACCTTTGTATTATCCACACCCTGATACCCTTTCTGTATTGCAGCTCATCAGAGGAAAACAAAACACAAGATGTGATAGGAGAATATGTCTTCTCAGTTGTGCACATTACATGAAATGAAGAACTTAACAATAGGAATGGGATCATGTGACTCAGTTATGGCGGGAATCTCTTTTCAAATAGTTTCCCTCATATGTCACAAGCAGTCATACCAGGTCAATGTTAACAAGTCACTAATATGATTTCTGATCACTGCTTGTTCAAATCACAATAGAAAACTCATCCACCTCTAATGGTTTGACAGCCCACTTCCCCAAACCAGCATCTCCAAACGCCTTAATCACAGCTTTCTTAGCAGCCTGCAAGAATTAAATTGTAGTAATCAAGAATTTCACTTAGCAAACAAAAAAGTATTTCTACAAGTAGCAAGGACCTGGTAGGCTGTAGCTCCTTCTTTGGCTTCTGAATACAAGCTGGAAGGTTGGGGGATGAGGTCTGGGTGTTTGAGAGCAAGTCCAAGCCAGCGAACAAAGGTATTGCGCTTGCAGAGACGAGATGGTGCAGGCTTGTCCAGTAACTGCCCTGAACTTGCATTAACTGACTCCAAGTTAGCACCTGCACATGTTCCATGATTTCTATGAGCTAATTGTTTATTCATCATCATTCATCAGTCGAAAGCATTATACACACATAATGGAGGCTCAAAGAAAGAATATTTCCTTCAAGGTTATATATATTACAACTGACCTTTGTACCAATTTATTCCAGCAGAGGGACTCCTCATAGCACGACGACACTCTGGAGATGACACCTGTGCAATGTTGGGCATTTCTAAGACATACCCTGGAGGTAGGTTACACACATATCCTTTGATACGATTGTGCAGAGCTCTAAATGAAAATGGAAAATTTCATAATGAACATATTTATAATAAAAAAGACAAGGCAAACATGATCCAAAGTGTACCTTCTGAGATGAACAGGATGAAAATATGTGCCAATGATAAGTGTGTGATATCGAATGGGTTCCAAGAAGTAAGAAAGGAGAGCCCCTTGAACTCCAACTAAATTCCAGAGGCACATTTTGTCTGAGCAAGACATTGTCAGCAGCCTTCCACCCTAATATAGTCAAGAGAAAGACACACAATTCACTCTGCATAGCCAGTGACTCACAAGATGGAAAGAAAACTCAACATACTGCTATGATTCCATCCCAAGTTTGAACTGCCTCTTCAGGCCGAACAGGAATTGTCCCCTCCCCACTTTCTATCTTGTTGCGGAGGACTCCCCGAGTGCTCCGATTTGGATGGGTATCTTCTGCCGTCAAGCCCATGTCATGAGCATTCACAGAGAAAATTCTGAATGCAGAATAGCAATAATAAGTAGTGAATTTATATAAATACACAGTCATGACTTTGTTTCAAAAGGGTAGAACTCAAACTTTGTAAGATTACTCTTCTTTTTTCCCCAAAGGTTTGGGATCCTGGCAAAGACCTCCATATTGATCTTGAAACTAGTCAATATCAATTATTATATTGAAAAAGGCTTCACAGCTTTACAAGTACAAGATAGCATTTCACATATTTCTACATAGGAGAGGATAGAACAAGTAAGTTTCACTTTGCACTCTCAATTTAAAAATGCCAACTCTAAGAGAATTAATTCAAAAGAAAAACCTGCAAAATCTCAAGCACAGTCCAGTAATTCAACAGCTATCTGATTGGAAAGAAAGTTCTCGGAATTTCATGAACAATTATTACAACCCAGTTTATTTAAAAGCAAAATCATCTCAATCATGAATGTAATCACCATTGGCCTCTATCACTTCACGCAAACGTTTATGCAAACTATGGATGCCATTCCAATAGAACTCTGGCGGCTGCGCTACGAAAAAGTTGGCCAAATCGGTTTTCAGGTCGTCTTGGTTGGCGTACTGCTTTCCACCCATGTGACGGTCCAGGGCAACGAAAAGGTGATAATCGGACGGGGCAAGGTCGGGGCTGTAGGGCGGATGCGGCAGCACCTCCCAGCACAGGTCCAGTAACTTTAGATGAGTCTGTCTAGCGGTGTGCGGCCGGGCATCGTCGTGGAGGAGGATGGTTCTCTGTCTTTCTGGGCGTGTTTCAGCCAGTTTCTGCTGCAGCCGATCGAGTTGCTGGCAGTAGTAGGCAGCAGTGATGGTGGTGTTTTGCGGCAACAGCTCAAACATGATGATGCCTTTCGAATCCCAGAAGACCGAGAGCATAATCTTTTTGGGGTGCAACTCCTGACGGGGTTCTCTTTCGGCCGATGCTCCGGCGTCCACCCACTGACGTTTTCGTCGAATGTTGGCATAGAAGGTCCACTTTTCGTCGCCTGTCACCACTGAGTCTAGCCAATCCGTTCGGCGCGAACGTGACAGAAGGGAGATGGCCATGTCTACTCGTCGCTGGCGGTCCCGATCATCCAGCTTGTGGGGTACCCAGCACCCCAACTTTGCCTTCTTGCCAAGCTCAGCCAGATGATGAAGGATAGTTGTATGGGAGACACCCAGCAAGTCCGCAAGCTCTCGCGATGTTTGCCGGTTGTTGGCCTCCAGTGCCTCCTGCAAGGCAGAGTTATCAAACTCCGAAGGACGACCGGTGCGTGGCTGGTCTTCCAGGCTTTCATTTCCTTTCTGGAAGCGACTGTACCAATCATAGGCAGTGCTCTTGGACACAGTGTCCGGGCCAAACGCGGTATTGATGTCAGCGATGGAATTGGCTGCCTTCTTCTTGATTCGGAAGTCATAAAGAAGAAGCAGGCGAACTTGCTCCTTAGTAAGAGGGTAGGGCTGGTTCATGGCTGGAGAGCACCAGGGCTGTAATAATATACGGTTGTATGCCGAAGGACACGACCTACTTATAAACACATGCAGAACATTCTAGCATGCTCTGGAAAAAAATTGTACTGGATATTCAAGAAATTCCGAGAACTTTCTTTCCAATCAGATAGTTTGAGCAATGTAGAGAATGTATTCTTCATGATGGACTATCCTAAAAATTATGTGGATATACTCTGATTATGAACAAACCAAAACAAAATCTGAAAATCTTAGCTAACTAAAATATCTCATAGGGTTAATCTAAAATTAAGTGGATACAAAGACACTTCTGAAATTCATTACCGAGCATCCCCACAAGGAGCAGTGCTGATGTAGATATGAAACTTTATTCCTGGTTTCACCATGTATTTCCCATCTGGTCTTCGTTCCAGGATGGACTCTGATGCTGTATCTATATTTTTTTAAAATTAAATCAAGTGTATGTTAGATGTTGTAGTCAACTTTGCTTCAGTGAGGGAATACAAATGAGAACTAACTTGTATTAAGTGCCTTTTCAAGCTGTGTATATAGATAATGGACAAAGGCACGGCGGCAGAGAACTTCCCCATGACAATCATTGAGAGTGTTTCCTTGATTGCTGATCTGTGACCCTTCCAGTGTTTTTGTCCCAGTAGCCACAGCAACCACTTCAGGTTCCAAGTCCTCTCCTTTCACATCAAATGAGGACTCCTTTGACATCACCACACCAGCCACAACTTTGCGCCTCTGAAGCACCTCATTTCTAGCAGTCAATTCGTCACATTTTTGTAACACCAGGCTGGAAAATGAGGTAAAGAGGTTCTCCATTCAATGCAGTCCACATCAACAAGTCAAAACAGGTGTTGGCTACTTGAGAAAATCTTCCATATTCCCACACCAGCAATTTCATAAATATTCACTTCCACTTGAAAACATAAATAGCTCACTCTTGCATTACACGTACTCAATCTTGAGAAAGGCAGCTTCAGAAGTTTGTACTCATTTGCTCCCACCACCACCACATATCATAACTTCTGCTTATAACTGGGCAGATAACAATAATAAAAAATAAAATAAAGAGACATGAATTCCCTCCTCTGAGAAGACCTTGCACGATGGCATATGGTATAGGATGGTACAGGCATCTTCCTGTAGCAGAGTAGTTAATGTGCTTTTGCCTTAATTATTTCCTATGTTGGCTCAAACAGATCAGGTCTATTCCAGATGATATACAGGCTAGTGTCTATGAAGCAATCAACCACTTGTTGCTACATAACTATTCCTGAGTTCAAAGTGCCAATGAGAAGAGCTGATGCCCAATGGAAGAAGAATTAGGCTGAAGTGTTATAGGCCCCATGTTTAATAATAAGATAGTATCTCACAGGGTGAATATTTAATAAGGTGAATGATGAAAAGTTCCTTAAATCATCAAAACCTTACATCCTTACATCAAACTTACCCCATTACACAACTAAAGAGCAAAACCAACATGATCCCATTGACAGCACAATTGACCCCAAATTTCTGGGAGATTCTCTCATGCGTGGTCCCATCACTTTCTTTTTGCATGCTTGGCACCTGTTCCTAAAGGCTTTCTCTCACAAACAGCCAATAGGAAAGAAATGATTTTGCTTACCAAAAGAGGAAAGAGCAGATCATAACAGGAACCTTGCTTTTGTGTGATCTTCAATCCTCATATCAGCTGACAGCAGATTGATTCAGAGCTGCACATCATCATCTCTTGCTCAAAGCAATCAAAGCTGACTTATAACATGGATATGAAATACACCCTTGTGATCTGTAGAACATCCTGAAGACAGATTTCAGGGGATCACAAGTATTGCTTTAAATACAACATTGTTTCAGTCACACCAATGGTGGAAGAAACCAGAAAGTTCAGCTGTATGATCGAGAAAACCATTTCAGATATAGTAATGAGATTTCCACAAATAGTTGTGCATGAAAATAAGGAAGGTGTGAGTCTGCCACTTGGAGGAAATCTTCAACCCATTGGAAACTTACTCCCTAGCATCTAGATGGACAACTTGCCAGTCAACAAGTGACATGCAGTAGATATGGTAAAATCATTGACCTGATTTCATGTCAAACAAAATGGTAATATGACTCAAACTGATTCAAAAAGATGGCAAACATGACATCAAATAAAGAGAAGTTCACCCAATCTTGGGTATATACTGAAGCTGGCTTTCAAAAGAAGCATCAGTTTTTCATTACACATTAGTGCATTAGTTATAGCATCCAGGAGCATGACAATATTAGGAAAATAAATACTTTTGCAATAAAAAAAATCCTGTTGTATGCTACCTCTCTCATTTCTCATGCCTTCTTTTCCCTTGATTACTAGTCTTCTCATTAACAGCAAATTGTGCAAAAGCAGGGAGTTGTTTGTGTTTTTTTGGAAAGGAATGCTACCTTCAAAATGTGTGAACACATTGACTTTAGAGCAGATACACAGGTACAAATAAGAATTTTGAGGACACAGTAGCTGTGCCCCAAAAGTAATGTGAGAAAAAGCCCCTAGTCTTGATCTCACACATATAGGTAATATCAAAATTGGTCTTACATATAGAAAGTGACCAACAAATTGGATTAGCAATTCATATTTACACGTCAGTGTGTGTGTTGTATGACCTTGAATCTTTGAGTAACACTTCACAACACCAGAGGATGGAGGATTAAGGGTCCAACACCCTTACTCAAGTTGGATATCACATGGGTTGGAATGCAAAAAGTTCTCACTGATGGCATCCACTCTTGGCAACCATCCCAACCCATGGGTTGTGTCTCCAATAGATGACAATGCTGGACCCAAAATCCTTCTCCCTCAGAGTGTAGTTAACAGCTCAACCAAGACTTGAGGACATATGACCCATAGGTACTGGAATATGCATCTTTGAATATATCTAAACCAATTCAGTCACCCAGAATTAGAAATTTCAAGAAACACTTTAAAAAGACAGCAAGCAAACAGAGGAATTTATGGCTTCAGAAAGGACAATATGCCTTGTAAGTCCTAAGGAATAGAAAGAAATACTGCAAGCATACAGAATAGATGGCACAGACTATCAATGGTGATCACTATTCATTGACAGCATAATAGTGAACAAAGTTATATACAGCCCAGTGGTCAAGCAATATCAAGTCAGGCTCAGTTAGGTCAAATACTAGCACAATGCTAAGTACTTCACAGCAAAAAGAGAACTTCTCTCTAGTCATTTCCAGGAAATGTACATGGAAGAAAGAAATGCTTTTTCTAAAAAAAAATCCTAGCAAGGTAGAAGGCTTTTTAAGGGAAATGAAATGCAAAGTTGAAGATGACTGAAAGTAATCCAGACTATTCTGAATGGTGAGTTGTCCCATACTTATGCAGACTATTTAGTAAATAAATATAAAAAAAACAGGTCTCAAACAGTTCAGAGGGAGAGGGAGGCAGAACAGGAAACTGCACAATAGCATATGTTACTAGCAGAATGGTAATATTTTCAGAAATACCATGAATAACAATTTAATATAAACTGAAAAAAAAAACTACCATGAGTAAAATAAGAGAGTCCATGAATCAAACGCCTAACCAATTAGTATGGAATTATCTCTCACAGAGATCTTCAACTATTCTAACTAATTCTTAGCTTGTTTACTACTGTAACTTTCTTCAAATAATAACCTTATTAAAAATGCAAAATACTCATTTCATATGAGAAATATACTTAAAGAAAACTACAATCAATATTATATTGTGGAATTTATTGAACTACCAAAGACTCCCAATTGTCCTCCATTAGTACAAGTGGATACTAATTAAAGTAAATTTACAAGTCTCACTGGCTGAACAATAGAGAGTTAGGCAAAAGGAAATTTAACAGAAACTAAAAGAAAACAAAAATCTTTGCCTGCAACAGAAAAACGAAATCACAAAGGCACAACCTGACATGAACTTAGTGAAATATAATTATTATTCACTACTTGAGAGACCATTAGGGCCAATATTGGCCCTGAAGCAAATTCTTCCAACACTGACAAAAACATAGACACATGATTTACAATAGTTTGAGAATATACAAGCATCATGATTCACTGGTCATATTGGAACATTATGATCACCATTGGCAGCCAGACTTAACTAACAACCTCACTATAGAATCCCATTCATCATGCTATTAAACCAACCCATCCAATCAGGATGAAAATTTCCTCCCCAGCTACAGCCTCAGTGAAACAAAACTTTGTCTGAGAAGGAAATAATCACCATGATTGAGATGCATGATATATGGTTTATTCAGTTTGTCGCTAGACTTCAATAATCAAATAAGTAAAAACCATCATGGAGTGCAGCCCACTATGTGGTAAAATGTACATTTGACACCAGCAGCATGTAAGTCCACACCCACAACTCATGGATATTTCCACAAAGTATCAATTCCAGAATACAATGATTGAAAAAACTGGCTCACTCTCACTCATGCAGCTTCAGAGCACTTCTCACTTGGCTTTGATTTTTTGTGGAGAAGGAAGAGATAAAAAAAAAAAACAAGCTACAGAAAGAGGGGGGGAAAGAAACTTACAAAGCATACTTATCTGCCACTATTGATGGCATATCCATTCCTTCTTGGTCTCCCTCAGAGGTATCAATCCCCTGTGACACAGGGTTCAAGTCTAGAGGACTGAATTTCATACCAAAGAGCTCTGATAGTGCAACACGGGCTGCAGCAGCTTTGGCAGCTCTCTTGTTGGGACCTGTTGGGGTATCAAAAGGGTCTTATTCAGACCAAAATAATGATACAAAACTGGAGAATGGGCAATATTTGATATGCTTACATCTAGAAAAGATACAAATACCACTATTCCAACAGTGATACCATCTACTTCAGAAAATATTGAGGGCCAGGGCATTGATGCAGGTAGGATGTGAAATTGATCAAGAATTTAAATTGGATTTAGAAACAGTTTCAATCAGGGATTTCCAGTAAAAGGCATCAGAGCTCCCATTTTAATACAGGGTGATTACTGAGCCATGCAACTCATGAAAGACATTGTTACAGGCAAGCAAAGTGGCTCTGAACCACAAAATTTGACACAAATGAAGATGAACACACGTAATGTATTTATCACTCATAAAAAGTGCTAAAAGTAGTTAGCATGTTCTTCAGTGCTCAAATGTATGGGATACAAATTCTCAGCCATAAGCCATAAGGGATCCCAGTAATTGTTGCAATAATATCCAAGTTGCTGGCTTACATATTCTGGATAGACACAAAGAAAGAAGTCAGGTGATAAAAAGAAAAGTCAAGGTCCAAAAACCTTGAGAAATGCCTGTCATAACACAGGTCCTCTAAAAAGGCCAATATTACAAAATGGGTGTGGCACATTTCTCCATTTGTTGGGACTACCCATTTCAGACTTGAAATCACCTATATCTTTTTGTGGTTAAACCAAATGAGCAAGGTTTACATCAATAACCCACACAATCCACAGACTATCAAGACAGCATCATAGAGGTTAGTCAATGCAGTAACAACTTTCAGCTCTTTTCATTAGCAGTGTGTATGCTACATTCATTAAAATAAACATAATAGTTTCTATTTCAGGGTTATTTTGTTCCTGAGTAACAATTTTTTGGGGAGTTGCACAGCTAATTACCTTGTATCCATATCATGCACCCAATATGTATGCGACAGAATCAATGTCCACTGATACCTGGAATAAGTCTACTACTACTAAATTTCCCATATGACTGAAATAAAAAATATATAATTTTTTACTACCACCATTACAATACACCAAAACTTGTCCCTAGCTTTGAAGCACAATCTTCTCTCAGACCAATGAGCTGCAGGGCCTACTAACCTTGGCCAGTATACTCTACTCCATCCACTGTAACCTTCATGGTGAAGGTTGGGTGCCTGTTAGCATCCCTTGTCTCTGATATTAGGTCATACACAACCCCAGGCCTTTTTTCATTCAAGAGCATGGTTGGATGCTTGGTCACATCAGCCTGTGCAGCCTTTGCCGTAATTGGTGGTCTTCCCTCTGGAGTTCCCTGGCCATTTTCTTCAGGATCAGATTTTGGAATGATTCCATATTGCCCAATCAGTGCTGCTCTTGCTGCTGATGCCTTTGCCAGTCTTTTACTCCTTCCTGAAATTATGAATTGTAAATCAGTATTGAGCTAATATGGGTAGGATAATGCAAAATAACTCATCAACCTTTGCCATTGTATTCTTGGCCATTCACTATGACTTTCATAGTAAATATGGTGTTTGGGGGAACACCAAGTGACTCCACTAACTCATAACTGCAAGTTGCCCTACTGACTTCATTCAACAGTTGAGCAGGATTCTTCTCATCTGGATGAAGATTCACAACACTCTTAGAATCTCCTTGCTGTAAGGAAAATGTAAGTATCATAGAGTATCAGTGATATAATTCTCATTCTAAGAAAAATATGTAGCAAATCACATGCAAGATATCACAGACTTCTACATACTCCTCACTAACATATAAACTATTATATGCACGTGGCATAAAGAAGAGTGAACCCCTCACCAAAGCTGCAGTGATGACAGTCTTCGTCTTTTTTACACCAATGAATCCATCACTTTCCATAGTGTCTGAGGAGAAATCTGGAGATTCTGACTTCTCTCCCACCCAGATTACATCTAGCAGCTCTGAGCTGGGATACAAGTCTCGCAAAACAGCTTCTGATGCCGCATGCTTTGACATTTTTTTGGAGCTGGCCTTCCCAACATAATCTCCATGATCCTCAACCTTTGAATCACATCCAAGCAAAAATATGTCAACTCTTGTGTAGAACAAAATATTGAAATTCGTATCAAGCACTGTAGCAATATCATACTTTGGCAATGCAGGTGAAGGAAGGAGCATGTACAGGACCTTCGGGAGGTAGGTACTCAAAAGTGACACCTTTACGGAGTTCTTGGAGCTTCATGGCAGGAAGTTTAACAGGACCAGTAAAAGCTTTTCTAAATTTCTTTCTCTTTGGCTCTGATTGTGGATCTTCTGCACCTCTTTTCACACCAGCAGGATTTGGAAGGTTGGTGCCAGTGTCCATGCTTGCATCTGATCATATCAGAACAAAAAAAGCTTAATCAACTTAATATTTCTCAATGCACAATACAGGCCAGGCCAGCCTTTTCACAATATTCAAAAGCCCTCACCTCACTTCTTCAGATGAAGAGAGAAAGATACTCTTATCAAGACTGTCCATGAGTGGCAACTTTCAAACAAAAATTCAAATTTACAATTCTCTCATGGTGAATCAAATAAAAGTTACTTAGTCAAACATTTCAATAGCATCTTCTGGCTGATTTCTGCTATTTGCCTGCCACAAGAAGTAGCATCATATATTTGAATAAGGCAAGAAACCCTATACCTATTTGCCAACTATCATTGGTTCTTCATAAGAACAAGTATTTAGCTTACATTGACTTTTTCTTTACTTGAAGAACATTGACTATCTCAGACATATACAAAAAATAATTTACATTTTTTCATTTAGCCCAGTAGGTATCATGGATACTAAGATAGAAAGTAGCCAAATTGCTTTGGTTTACTTCTGTGCTTACTTTGCTGTTCTTGTGCACTGAGAGCAGCATCAACGTCCTGCTGAGCAGGAGAATTTTCTTGAGTTACCAGAACCGGATTTTCTGTTTTGATAACAGTTTGGTCAGCAGAAGATGGATTTCTTGCTGGAGATCCCATTATTTGATTTGCAGCATCAGGAGGAATGCATTGAACTCCAATGGGTGCTGGATTTTGGGTCTGCCCTGGGTCTGCCTTAATTTGGGCTGTAGCTCTGGGTGGAGGGGGCGGTTGAACTCCAGCAGGTGTAGGATATTGGGTTCCCCCAGGAACCCACTGTGTTGCTGGAGGTGCAGGCCCTCGGGGGGAACCCCTGGGGCTTCCCCTACCTCGTGGTCCACCTCTGCCTGGTTGTGTCATATCATTTCTCCTCCACATTTTATTTAAAATTTAAAAAAAAAACAAAAATATCACCTATAAAACAATAGTTTTGTTGGCATAAGGTAACAAGGTTTAAAGATAAATAGGTTGCACTAAGAACTCTAAAGCCTATAAACAAGAGATGAAGAAAATTATAAAGAAAAAATGACATTGACATCAGCCAAATTGGCTTCCATGGAAGCTGACAAATAGCACTGCAAGATGATTGTGCTCTTCCTTCAGTGGCTCTGCAGCGATCAGAAGTGGAGCAAGCAAAAAGTAACAAAAGAAAGAACATGAATCCAAGTTTAGATCCCACAAAACAATAAGCTTTCCACACAAAAGAAAGGCAAAAAATTAGCCCCAGGAAAAACAGTTATACAGAAGGAAGTGAGTACAAGGTCTATACCATGAAGGAGGCAGGTAACAATGCAGCATTTGAAGCAATCCTTCAAAGACCTATAAATAATGGCAGAGGCCTTAAACACTGATGTTTTGAATGGTTTGAAAAACACAAGTATTGCAAAAAAGGCTGAGTTCTTAAATGTGTTTCATGAAACAAGCATATTTTTCTGTTTCTCTAATGCTAAATTGGTGAACAGATGAAGCAAAAAGTATGATGAATATTACCAGCAGTGCATCGTTAATTAGGTTGATGATTGGAGAATATCAATTCATGAGTGAAATAGCATGAACAAAAGAATTTATCCCTAGTAATATTGGAGGAAACTGTTTGGGACTGGAAATGAAGTTTCAAATGTGTCTCAGGCCCATACTTCTACCTAACACCTAGTCTGAAAATGGCACCATTAAACTGGGATTCTACATTACCTGGGTAATGTAGAATCCCAGTAGTGATTAAAAAATGCCTTACACTTCATGAGCTCATTCCATATCAGAGAAAGGCAGGAATAGCATCACTCAAGTGATCCAAGTGAAGTGGTGTGGTCTGGTTCAAAATAGGCTTTTATTGTGGTAAGGGGATCATTCCCAAAGGTCAAATGATGAGATAAAATTTTCTCATGAATGCAAAATCAATTAAGCCTTTTTTTTACTATCATACACTGGCTAAAGGGTGAAAAATGTCTAAAATAATTCAAAGACAGACTCATTTGCAGATGATGTATGACCTGAGCTTGATAAAAGTCATGGCTGAAAGCCAGGGTTGAGTAATTTATGTTTCAGAAGAATCAGTCTCAGTTTCAAGTTACCTGTACTTAGTAAAAATTGCAACTATGTATAATATACCTGGTCACATAATCTCATCAGCTCCAATCTCCATACCCAATCAGAACTGAACTGAATATCCCAGGCCCAAACCAAGTAGCATCTGTCAGTTTGCAGAGTTTGATAAGACCCTAACCCAAACCCAATTGAAATTCAACAAAAAAGAGGCATTATTAATCAGAACACTAACTTTTTCCCTAGTTCCTAGTTGCTTATGCAGAACATTTTGAGTTTTTATATATTAACCTCAGGCTGTCAAACTCATTACCCTCTACAACTATACTACAGAACATGATAAAGAAAATCCAAAATAAAATACATAATTTTATTTTGATAGGATTGAGTCAGGATCCTATTGATGCTTCAACTTGTTCCACAGCCATGATGGCATACAGGAGGGAACACCCTAAACTTCTGGGGAAGGCATTGGGATTGCAGGCTTTTTTCAAAATTCACTTTCCAATACTTTTTGCCTTGAAGAATTGAATAATTCATCATTAATACTTATTAATAGCAAAATTCTTGTATTTCGTTTTTTTGATTTTCCAAATTAGGCCTAAACTGCTGATTAGGGAAAAGTTATGTAAAGAATACCTTTCTCATGGAACTATAATGCTACTCAATATGTTTAGAACAGCCTACACCCTGCTTACATGCAGGACCAACCACTCTCTCCCCACGCTTTTTGGAGCTCAACTCTAGCAGGGTCCTTTTTCACACAACATACAACCATTGTGCTCTTAAACAGCTCTAAACTCAGTTGAATTGAGTGAGGGAAAAAAGTTGGGTACACACAGGAGTCAAGTCAAACCAACAACATTCAGTATTAATGATCAGATTTGTAAACCATTGGGCTGCCAGATCTTGCTTTCACAGGAGAGGTAAGCAATGGGGATAAGAGAATATTAGCAATGTTGCTCTGAGCATAATCACTATTAATTAATATATTTTTTGGTCATTGGGGAAGTTACTTTATGCGAGAAGTAAGATAAAACTGGTACTGACCTTAGCTCAAATGACAGTATAGACATTCCTTGAAGGTCTAAGGCAATTGTGTTGGGCAACTACACGTCCCTGCCATATCGTGATTAGCCATAGCCTAGGCCTAATCATATTTCCAGGCTTTTGACGATAACGTAGGCGGATATACGCAGAAAATGGGCATCCATCTGCGAATTCCACATCCTCATAGGTCTCACCTAACCACGGCCTTAGCACTAGAAACTTCTCCGTTGTAGGTTGAGCGTAGGCCTATGGTTCGCCTAAGCTCAATAACTTAATCTGACAAAGTAGGTCTATAGAGACCTGCGAAGTCATCCCGAAGAGAAGCACGGTCGATACCAAAACGTAGGCAAAGGCCTACTAAATCAGTCGCAATGCACTACAGGCCAAGCATATATCCTTCGGCAGACGGAGGCCCGCGGAAACAGTTTCACCCCACGCTAACATGACAGCAATGGTCACTCGTGTACGGACACGGAAGAGTGGAGTAGCGAAGAGGAGACGGCGCGAGCGAGCAACGCACGAACTGACCCTGCCCGGTACGACCACTCACCACATCCCTTGTGCTGCCACCTACCCCTCTCCGCAGTCAACTCGGAATTACTTCCTACATCTTTGTACGGTACAATGGAAATATACTTCCCAGGTGCGAAATCTATTACGAGTCACCGTTCGCAAAGCCACTTCAGTGTTAACTCTCTGACGCGCACCGAAAGAACAGTTGAAACGAGGGCGAGAAGAAAGCGGAAAGCGGACCCGAAGCCCTCTTTTCAGCTGAATGCATTCCTCAGTGTCGCGCCTGGGATATTCCAAACCACAAAGTTTGCTGAACGTGGAAAGCAAGAAGGAAAAAGGGGGGAAGGGGAATGACTGGCAACACAACACAAATATGGCGAGGGATGACCTCAACACAATCGGAGGAGGCAGAGAGTCTTACCCCCCCCCCCTCAGAAGCGTCCCTGGCATTCCCCTGGAAACTCCATGACATTCCCTTCTTGCAGATAATCGAGATAATCGCCTGCAGACCCGAAGCTAGGACAGTTACGTCGAAACGGGTATCGCAAATACTCCTCGGTACCCATCCTTTCCTTCCTTTTCGGGAAACCGCGTCGCAATCGTTTTTCAAGGCAGACCACAAATGAACATCTGAAGGTCGGCAAACCCTAATTCATTTTCATTTGAATCATTTTTGATGACTTCCTTAAGAGAAAATGGGTCGATGCACGTTCAACCATGAAACCATGCTGAATAAGCCCTGATGGCACTTCGAATCCCATTTTTTTCGGTTCTAGATGAGACAACTGTTGACTGCTGCCATTGTTTCTTTTTCTATTAGTCTGTCTCAGTCATTTTGAGTTGAGTCTGAAATCATGTTAGCCCACCCTTAGGTGGTGGCTTGTCCCAATAGAATCCCATTTTTTTCGGACTGATTCTTCCCCCCCCCCCCCCCCCCCCCCTCCCCCTTCCCCCTTCCTTGGCGCTATTTTTAACCGTGCTTAAAAAACATTTAGTATTCGCAATTCTCATTAATGACACAGTAGCATAGCGACGAGTGAAGCCCACGGAACGACGAACCTTCCTGAGCGAGGGATGAAGCGATATCCCTTCCTGGGCCGACATCCCTTTGTGCGCGAAGTTGTCACTTCACAGTTTATTGGCTGGAAAAATTATGCACGAGTAAAAAGGGAGAAATGTGAATCCGAAAAGAGTTTCGTCCATCGAGGATAGATAATGGAACTGATTCGCCTAAACTGAACTCGGCGAGTTCCACGCGAAAAGGATTCAGTTTCGAGTAAAGAGTGCGATTCGGAAAGGGCGATCACCAGATGACCGTGTGGGATAAAGAACGCAACCAAAATTGGAAATGTAGGGGAAGTTCCCATATTTGCTCCGGCGTCCAGCAATTTCCAGATTCGGTCCCGTAGTGGGGTCGCGATTAGGTAGAAAACGCGCCGAAACCTACGGTAGAAAAAAATAATAACGGGGAGGAACATTGTTCGCCGTGTTCGGGTGAGTTCCGCGTTCCCATCTTCGGAAGTGAATCGGCAAACCCGAAATGGGATCGAAGACCGAGAGGGGGGGGAGGGGAGGGAGACCCGTTCCTCATTGTGAAGGTTTATACGGTCGGAGGTGAGAGGGGAAAAGGACGGAGGTCCTTCCTCCGCTCCATGCCGCACCATCCCCCTTTCTGCATTTCAGCTTTTTTCTCCTCACGTTTAGGGGGGGGGGGGGGGGGGGG